CCCAACACTATAAGCCGTATACACCGCTGGATTCATAGCTGCAGTGCTGCGCATGCGCGAGAAAAAGCGTCCCGTCTAGCAACACTGCCGTACGAAGCCGGATGCGGCGAGCGATCCAGAACATTCTGGAATATACGGGACCGGCTTCTTTTTCCGGAGTCACATGTAAAACGGCACTCTGTTCGGAGCCGGCACTAGAGTCAGTCGAAATAAAATTGTCAGTGAATTAAATCTAGTCTCGCGGGCGGTTAACTAATATTAAGTGTATTCTGCATTTTGCAATAAAGACCATTTATCATACTGTTAATAAAGAAGTTTATTCGTATTACTGATATTCATTTGTCTAGTCGTTTTATCGTTTATTGAGTAACTTTCATCACTATTCGGAGAATCCGAATGTACGAATAGAAAATTATTGAACGGAAGAAGAAAGAACGAGAGAAAAAATATCAGGACGCGAGTGACTAAGTTGGGAAATAATTAAAAGTTTTACAGGTATGTAAAAATCTTTCGAGTCGATAGACATAAATGCCAAAGTAAGCATGGTTAAACGAATAAGGCGAGTGGCAAGAACATATTAGTATATGTTAAATTTACACTTTGTTGTAATATTGCAAAATGACTTCATTTTTCTATTGACAATAGCAAATCTGAATTATTTAAAAAATTGTTAGTTTAACATATGCGAATATATTAATAAATATAAAATATTATTTTTCAGACAAAAAAAGATTATCTGATAATTTACACTGTTAAAAACAAATGCGGAAAAAAGAAAAAAAAGTTACGAGAAACAAATCTTGAACACGGGATTTTTAATATTCCAGCCATTTGCCTTAGAAACACTTATTTTTTAGCCTTTCGGCTGCGTTTGCTTTGGACGCTTACGTGCTGAAAGCGTTATTCTATCTCTTTTTGACGTATAATGAGCCGACGCAGCCATTGTTTGTTGCGTCGGCTCGGTGGAAGGGAGACGTTTGTTCTCTTCCAATGGTCGACCGAATCGAGCGCACACGGACACGTGACGTCATCGGTTCTCGGTTGTGTTTGTATGATGCTTGCCGCTTGTTTCTGGTAACTCTGCTGGTGATCGGCCCGAGAGGCAATTGTAAAGCCCGTATTAAGCCTTGTGTCCACGATGCTAGAACTCAATCCGAGATCTCGGTCCGAGTTCTCGAACAATAATATTTATACTTGGCTGAATATAGTTAGCGTTGTAATCGAGTTACGATTCTTTACGATGATTTTCTGATCTATGTTATAGAAAACTCATATCTTCAAACAACCATCAAGTTGGTTTATAGATATCGGTTGCGTTCCGTTTTGCGCATAGCACGCATCGTTCGCATCGCTAATGCTTAGCGCATTGGCTGCGTTTCGTTTCATTATGCGCATGATACATGCTTTGAAACGGAACGATATTGAACGCATTAGAAGCGGAAAATCAAGGGCGGTATTCATAGTCCCTTCTTATATTCAAAATCGTCTTAAGCACGGACTTATATTCGCTCTCTTCGTCAAACATAGATTGTGTCTGACAAAGAGAGCGAATATAAGTTTGTGCTTAAGACGATCTTGAATATAAGAACGGACTATGAATACCGGCCCAAAATGGATTCCACAATAAATTGCGCTATCAATGTGACAATGTTTTTAATGATGAAATGAGTGACAGTAATAGTAGTGAATCATCAATGACTCTTCCATTATGACTCTTCCTATTTTGACTACTTTTT